TTAGTGTGGTTGGTGTGGTGTTAGTGGTGGTGTTGATGGGTGGTGTTGGTGGTGGTGTTAGTGGTGATGTTACTGGTGGTGTTGGTGGTGGTGTTGATGGTGGTTGTTGGTGGTGGTGTTGGTGGTGGTGTTACTGGTGATGTTAGTGGTGGTGTTGATGGTGGTGTTGGTGGTGGTGTTAGTGGTGGCGTTGGTGGTGGTGTTAGTGGTGGTGTTAGTGGTGGTGTTGATGGTGGTGTTAGTGGTGGTGTTACTGGTGGTGTTAGGTGGTTTTGGTGGTGTTAGTGGTGGTGTTAGTGGTGGTGTTACTGGTGGTGGTGGTTCAAGGTCCATGAAATTTTCACAGTGAAAGAAACACGAGAGGTTTTTATTATTACTAGAGAAGGAAAATAACTAAGTTGTTCTGTCCTTTCAGACAAAGGCTCAGCGGTCATGTGTGGGGGTAGGGAAGGTGTGGTGACGTGAGGAGAGGAGGAGGAGGATCAGAGGGTGGTGGTGGTGAGGAGGAGGAGGAGGAAGGGAGGAAGGAGGGAGGTAGGAGATGTGGGATGGGGAGGAGAAAATGTTTGATGTGGAAGAGAAAGACGTAGGGTAGGAGGTGAAGGTACAAAGGTCACAAGGTTAAGGTGGAATGGGAAGGGTAAGGAGGAGGGAAGGAGACATTGTGGTGGATATCGCAGGTGAAAAATATTATGGGAGGGTGTGGCTAAGTGGAAAGGTAGTAGAGCTTCTTTAATGGAACAGGGGGGGGGTAAGATAATGTGGGAAGGAAGAGATTATATTGAAGAAGGAGGTGTGATGTGGGAGGGGAGGTTATGTGGGAGGGCGTGAATAATGAGGAGTAACGTGACAGAATAGGGTATAAAATGGGAGAGGTGTGAATAACGAGGGGAGGGACAGGATTATGTGGGAGAGATAATGTGGGAGGGGGAGGAGATAATGTGGAGGGTTAAGAACACTATGTAAAATATATCAGAGTGGAGAAGAGGTGATGGAAAAGCAGGTGTCATATATGGGAAGGAAGGTGGGAGGGAAGTAAGGTGGAATTTGGGAGGTAAGGTGATGATTGGAGGAAAGACTAGTGTGGGGATAACCTGTTGGAGGAGGTGAGAGAGGTGGGGATGGTGAGAGGGAGGGTGAGAGAGGGAGGGGGTGAGAGAGAGGAGGAGAGGGAGGGTGAGAGGAGAGGGTGAGAGGGAGAGGAGGCGTGCAGTGGAAGATGAGAAGGAGGAAACGGAGGACGTGATTAGGCGCAAGCTTCATTAGAGAGTAGAAGCGGTGAAGAGTTATCCTCAAGTGGAAGGAAGGAGAAGTAGAGGTGGTGGTGGTGTGGTGGTCTAGTGGTGGTAGTGGTGGTGAGGGGAGGGAGTAGGTCGTTAGGTGCGAGGAAGCCAAGGAGAGAGAGGGCGCGGTTGCAAGGCACTCGGCTCGGTGAGTTGGAGTAGGGAGGGAGGCAGGAAGGGAGAGAAGATCAGGGACGGGGTGGGGGGTGGGGGTGGAAACTGAGGGCATGGTGGAGGCTTTGGGACGTGGTGGAGGCGGAGGAACATGGGAGGAAGGAGGGAGGAAAGGGTAGGAGAAGGGAAAGGGCGTGCAGGACGTGGGGAGAGGTAAAGAGGGCAAGAGGTCATGAATAGAGGTTATTCAAGCGGGGGGGGTCATAATACGTGAGATCTTTGAGCAAGTATTGTGTGCCGCGGCTCACCCCTGTGACGCCATTCTGCCGCAGCGTTGACTGTTGCTCTTGTTAGTGTGTTTTGGTTTTTGTTAATGTGTTTTGGCTCTTGTTAATGTGTTTTGGCTCTTGTTTGTGAGTTTTGGCTCTTGTTAATGTGTTTTGGCTCTTGTTAGTGAGTTTTGGCTCTTGTTAATGTGTTTTGGCTCTTTTAGAGTTTTGCCTTGTAATGTGTTTTGGCTCTTGTTAGTGAGTTTTGGCTCTTGTTAATGTGTTGTTGTTTTGGCTCTTGTTAGTGAGTTTTGGCTCTTGTTAATGTGTTTTGGCTCTTGTTAATGTGTTTTGCCTTGTTAGTGAGTTTGCTTGTTAATGTGTTTTGGTATTTGTGTGTACGGGTTTTTGTTGGCGTGATTCGTCTCTTATTATTGTATAATGGCTTTTTTGTGCTGTGTGTCAAATACATAGTGGACAATAACAATAATAACATGATGGAGTTTGAGTATTATTTGTATTATTTTGCTCCTCTTAGCGTGTGATCAGGCTCTTTTTAGTGTGAACTGACTCTTGCTACAGTGACCTGACTCTTGCTACAGTGAACTGACTCTTATTAGTGTGGTTAGATTCATTAGTGTCCATTATATATTAAGTAATTTAACTCTTGTGTGTGTGTTGGTTCTTTAGCGAGTGATGAGTTATTCCTTTACCAGAGTGAGTTAGGAGTGACCTCTACCTTCCATAGCTCAGTTTTAACTTTTCTATCTTCCCTATGAGATTAGATCAGGGCAGTACTTCTCATGTAATTTAATCTCTTACCTTTAAATAAAATCACCAAACCCAATAAACGTTGTGTTCCCTTGTTATCATAGTGTCATTAAGAACTAGTAAGTAATATCTGGTAAAAAATTATACTTAGATACCATATAATAGATAAAAAAAAGTATTGACACTAAATACTGAAAAAAAAAATTGAGGAATGAGAAATAAAACCCAGAATAGGAACTTAGAATGTGTGAGGTATGCAAATGTTTGGAGGAGAATAAAGGGTGGTACTGTAGTGGGACTTTCTGGAAATTATTAAATGTAAGATAGATCGGTTTAAATAGCATTAGTGGAGTAGAGTTTTACTTCAGATATTCAGATGGTGAACAGTATGAAAGAGGTGTTAGTATTCTTGTAAACCAGAAGTTAGTTAATTGTATAAAAGGGATATTGAATAGTGTGCGATAGACTTGGTAATAGTTCAAGTTTATGTAGGTTTAAGAAAAATTATACCAAGATTTCAAGACAAAAGTTTAATAATTGTTTGATTGTAATTTGGTGATATTAATATGAAAGTTAGAAAGGAACAAGAACCACCATAATTAAGACCACATATATTGGATAATGCAAATGAACGAAAAGAAAGACTAATTGAGTTTTATATGGCATACAAGATGATAAAGGCAAACTCAGCAACTTCCAGCAAGACCTACACAGGGGAAGACTCAAGGGAAGACCTTGTCCCAGTAATGAGTTTAGTGAAGTTAAGACTTTAGAAACGAAGACGAAGGATCTAGGATAAAATCGAATGGGTTTTTAAAGAAGTTAGAACACAGATGGAATAAGAAACTGAAGCAGATTTTTAATATCGTTGAAGGAAAGACTTGAAGAGTATTATAATTATATCAATGAGTTAAAAACGGGAAAAAGTTATAGAACAAAGGAAGAACCAGACTAAGAATGGTGTATATGAAGGAAAGTTGATAAAGAGGAAGTGAATGTTACAAAGGAACTTCACAAATAAATGATAAAAAAAAAATATTGACACATGTTTAAGATGATTTTCTCAATATGAAGGAAAAGATGAGAGGCAAAAACAACGTCAAGGAAACGTTAACGAAAGAATAAATAAATAACTAGAACATATGATAAAGATGAGGTAGGAAGAAGAAATAAAGAGAGAGGAATAAATTGAAGAAAAATCGTAAATAGATAAGGATCAAGTGCAGGTATATATTGGTTTGTTAGTGTGTATTGGCTTCTCTTATTGAACATCGGCTCTTCTTAGTACATTTTGACTCTTGTTATTGTGCATTAGCTCTTGATTACGTTGTTGTTTGTTGTTAGTATGTGTGTTAGCTCTTGTTTTTCCATTGGCTCTTGTTAGCGTTGTATCGATCCGATTAATGTGTCGCCTTGGTTACTATACATTGGCTCTTATTAGTTTGTAATGGTTCCCTATTGTGGCTCTTATTAGTATGGCTCATTTTCTAGTGTGATAACTCTTACTAATCCCATGACTCTTTTGTATATTTGCTCTTATTAAAGTTTATTTGCTCTTTTCAACGTGTACAGGCTCTTTTATAAAATAGCTCTTAAATTATCATCTGAGTTTTGTGATTTGCTTTCATCAGTTATTACAATGACTGTGTTTAATGTATTTGTTCATTGTATTATAGTCTCTCTATACAAGAAGTTTTAAAAAAGCAACAAAGTTATTTTCTGTATACAACGTCTTTAGCCTTTGTTGTCATTGTTATTATTTTTATTTCATCTCGGCAGTGGTTAGGTTAGGTTATGTTAGTGGTATATATTCCTGCCACCTAATTGTGTATTCTCGTTGTTGTTGGTCGAGGCTAAAGTGTTTTTGGGGGTCTTTTAAGTTTGTTGGTTCTTGCAGTGAATTCATTATCAGGCAAAATGTTATATATGATAGTATTGTGGCCTTGGTTCTCTAGGGAAATTTTACTCGTTTAGGGTTTATTTTTTACTCTTTAGGATTTATTTTTATTCGTTTAGGGATTTTTTTTACTCATTAGGTTTTTTTACTCATTTAGATTTTTTACTCGTTTACGGATTTTGTTACTTGTTTAGGATTTTTACTAGTTTAGGGATTTTTTATTTGTTTGGGATTTTTTTTACTCGTTTAGGGATTTTTTTACTCGTTTAGAGATTGTTTAACTTATTTAGGGATATTTTAGTGGTTCTGATATATGCTAGGTTCGCTTAATAGCTCTGGGACTAACTAGTAACTGCGTTAAATTGGTGACTCGGGGACTAACTGATGACTCTGGGACTGACTTGTGACTCTGGGACTGACTTGTGACTCTGGACTGACTTGTGACTCTGGGACTAACTGGTGATTCTGGTTTAAACTGGTGATTCTGAGACTAACTGGTGACTGTGAAAAAAATGGCTCTTCTGAATCTCTACCAGCGGCTAGACATATTAACCTTTGGGCTCAGGAACTTCTACGTCAAGACGGTACCCTTGTGGTTTACGGATCCTGTCACTGAAAGAACAAAAATTATAGAAGTAAGTTTCTGTTCTGTCACTCAAGACTCACCTGAAGACGGCGTCGCTGATCCTGACGGTGGGCTCCTCCTCCCAGAGACCAACTAGGAGGTGAGGATTGTTTAGTCCCTCAGGGTTTTCAGGAATGGCAGGATCCCTTGTGGTGATGTCATCGTCATAATCCAGCCTGGGGCCAGCTGTCCACGTCCTCTGTGGTTGTATTTGGTGATACTGATGATTCTCGTCCAGGTAACCACGAGACTTGGGTGTCATGTATGAGCCTCTCGATCTGAACTGCTCGTAAGCTGATAAGGAGGACGAGTTTATGTTGTGGTCTTGGTTGGAATGAGCCGCCACGAATTTACGGAGCGTGGAAGGTGTTGGAGGGAGGGATGGGTGCAGGTCTGTGGAACACGTCGTCTTGGTGACGTACCCTCGCCGCCCAGCCTGAGATAAACATGTGATTAATGGACGTAGCCCTTATGCATACATGGCTGACGCTGACGTAGGAGCGTTCAGCATATTGTATGTTATGACGTATTCCGTGACACAACGTCGCTCTATGACACAAACATTATCTTATTAACTTACTCATACATATTTGTTTACTGTTCGTCAAAGAATCGAAAATTTATACAACGAGAAAAGCATTCATCACAGGAGTAACTATATTAATTAGCACCTTCATATTGTTCATACTGCGGTAACAAAACACCATTCAGAAAAAAATATCATAAATTGTGGACTACGACCAGTCATTAAAGCGAGAAAAATAAGACAGGGAAAAAAAGTAGGTGGTATTATTCACAGATTTAAAGATAAGAGAGCGTGTGGGTGGAGGACCTTAGGTGAAAAAATACAGCGGGGTCCCTGATGACACTAGGTGGGTGTTTTTTAATGACTGATACAGTGCGGGGACCTTGATAAAGTGAACTGTGTGGGTCTTGAGTCTCTCAGTGTTAATATAAGAGCCACAGTATAAGTTATCCCTGTCAGAGTAAGTGGTATGGAAGCCAGTCAGTTCTGCCACAGTTACTTGTTATTGTTGTTGTACGAGAACTATATATACCCTCGACCATAGCCACTCAACCATGATAGAATAACACGATCATAATAACCAAAGGGCGAGAGGTGAAGGTTATGGAGGAGGTAGTAAGGCGTGTGGGTGTATTCTCCTGAAGGTGATTATCCCGACCTTCCTGGTGTGTTAAGGCGACTCCATACTGTGTCTCGCCCAGTGACTCCCAACCATAACTCCATTACTGCCTCCATACTGCCTCCATTACTGCCTCCAAACTGCCTCCATTACTGCCTCCATACTGCCTCCATACTGCCTCCAGCTATTAAATAAGTGAAAATATACCTTCTATTATTCCCATGCTATAGACCGCTGGGGGGCATTCTATGGGCCTGACTTGAATACATAAGTGTTGGTTTACTCCAAATCAAGGAAATGTTTCTCTCTCCCCCAGAAAAAGCTTATTCCAGGTGTTAGTTTCGTTACAACTCTACTCTGTATTAAATCTTTTATTTGTGTAGGTGACTTTACAATGTTTATGATGACGTGTGTCGATATTTTCCTATTTTATTGTTTATTGTAATAGTTTTTCATTGTTGTTGTTATTCTTGGTGAAATGTTTGGTGACAAATTAACACTAGATAAAAGTGTGGGTGACACTGGTCCTGTTACGGTGGAGCGGCGAGCGTGGTGAGAGTGGCGACTCCTGTAGCAATATAGTGTACACCGTGCCTATGAACTATACACACAATTATGGGGCGGGAGGGAGCAAGCCTGACTGAGTGGGGATGAATGGTGCTGGAGGAGGATGACGACTGGATGAGCGATGGTCGTACAGATGAAAAATGCAATTACGTAATACTGAAAATCCTCTCATATCTAAATAACGAAAAAAATAATAATCAAAAAAAATACACAAAAAACTTAAATCAATACATAAACCACCTTGTTAATGGACAATCGCCTCCCCACAAAAAAAATGGCAGAATAAATCCTCAAAATATATATTCATTAAGAAACATGTACACAACTCTGAAAAGGTCGTCACATTTTTTTTATCTTTAAAGGGACACATTGATTGAGATGAATTCTTAGGGACGAGAGACAAACGGAGAAGTTAATAACGTCATTGTGTCCTTAATGACGAGATGGTGATGAAGAAGAGGAGGAGGAGGAGGAAGAGGAGGTAACAGAAGTGATAAAAGAAAAGGGAAGAGAAAGAGGAAAAGAAGCGGAAACGAAAGAGGATAATGATGATGAGGATTAGGAAGAGGAGGAGAAGGAGGAGAGGGGAACATAAGGAGGAGGAGGAGGAGGAGAAGAGAGAAAGCAGAAGAAGAATAGGCGAAAGAGGAAAAGGAGGAGAAGAGAAGAAGAGAAGAAAAAGAAGAAAAAAAGAGAAGTAGGAAGAAAACGTAAGGTCAATGACACTCGTAAGGTGACTCAGCGTGCCAGAGAAAGTAAGACGTCTTGCAGGCAGATGACACACACCACGTCTCCGGCAATGTTTACATCACGGCCCAGGTAAAAATATCCAACACGACTCAGAGAAGCAGTTGGTTACATTTGCATAATCTCAGATGAGGTCTATTCACCAAATAAATATCACGAAGAAAAGAACGGGGATCCTTATTATCATTTAAATGCAGCATCTAGAGCGTTCCTGGCCAGGCTTGTTGTGCGAATTATGGATTTGGGGTCGAAGGAGGTAAGAGATGGTGAGATTGCTGCTGAGAGAGAGAGAGAGAGAGAGAGAGACAGAGAGACAGACAGAGAGACAGACAGATAGAGAAAGAGAGACAGAGAGAAACCCATGCAGTGAGAGAGAGACAGAGAAGAGCGAGAGAGCGAGGGAGACAGCTAACAGCCAGAGAGAAAGAGATAAACAACCAGAAAAGAGAGAGACAGAGACAAAAATTCACATACACTAGATAGAGACTAAACTCAGGCGATGTTTGTTTGTGTGTTGATGAACCTGGACGCTCGCTGTGAAAATATGGCAGAGGATAAAAAATACGTTAAGCACTCTGAAGCGGTCGGTAATGATGCTATAAAAAGCTTGTAATGTTGTCCTCGCTTAACCTAACCTAACCTAACCTATAAAAAGCTTGTAATATTAGGTTCTTCCTCCTTACGGACGCTTGTTTGGCTAAGCTGACGTTAATTACTAGAGTCGACAGGATGGCGTGAGCAGGTGGGTCCAGTGTATGTATGTATGTATGTATGTATGTATGTATGAGACTGTAGGTATGTATGTATGTAGGTATGTATGTATGTAATACGAAAAATGTTAATTTAACACCCATTTAAGAAACAAATGAGCCATATAATCATTTAAAATTAACAAAATATCTAAGAAAATTACCAGAAGCAAAACTCGATCATATTATTCAACTATACAAAATTCTTTAAAAAGTTGTAGTCATGAGAGGAAAATACCCGTCGTAAAAATGTTTCCCCCATAAGAAAATATCTATATTATTTCCCCTTCCCTGAACTTTACCAAATAATAAAAATCAACATCAACAAAAAAGTAAAAAAAAAAAGTTTATAATTACATGAATCATTGAGTTAGGTGTTAATAGTATTTGTAATATTAACTGTATTAATATTTTAGTGAGTTATGACAGACAAAAATGAGGGAAGGTTTCTGTGGAAAATATAACACTCACGAGATATATGGTGTTAGGTCATCACTTTAACTAATGGTTGAAAAATTCCTTCGTGACATCGTTGTTCATGAGATAACTTAAAAAAATAACACCAAAAAATAACACCACATAATAACACAAGAATAATACCAGATAAATAACACGAAATTAATACCAGATAAATAACACAAAATTAATACCACATCAATAAAAAAAGAAAATGGAGAAAAAAATGAAAATTAAAAGCGCAAGTGTTATGTATTGGGAGGAAAGAGAGTCCAGATTCAGACCTTCATCCATAGATAACTTGTAATCTCTATAGACCAGCAACTCGGGGTTCAGTCCATGTTCGGTTCTTTTCTCTTGTCCCAGGGGTCCGACTGGGTATAACTTGGATAAAATGAGAACTCCAAATATACTGTCTCATAGTCCAACGCCTCACACTGTTTTATTTAGGTATGGGAATTAATATATCTTATAGAATGTTATTGAAAAGAGAAGTATTTTAAGAGAACTGCCTCACGTTGATATATTCAGTCGTATGAGTCTTTATCGGAATTCAAATTATTCCTCTCATATAAATCAATAAACACAATGTACTTTGGGGAAAAAAAAATCCTCTGCATAAATCGACTAATATAGATAACATTTATAATTAATCACGTGTCAGCACTTCAACAATAACGCCAACTTGTATAATACCTGAATCTAAATTAATTTTACGTTTGGTTTACGAGTTTGACACAGGAAGAATTAGACCAGAATCATTACATTTTCTGTACTCTAATTTTAATAAGTTTTGTTGTTTTGTAAAAGAAATTGTAATAAATCGATAAATCCCGGAGTCTGTGGTAATTGTCCTACGATTTTATTTAACGATTGACCATTCGGGATCGTGGATGAGAAACTTTACCTGCGAACCTGAGCAGCTGTAGCCCCTGTAGCCCCTGTAGCTCTGTATCCCCTGTAGCCCTGTATCCCCACCCTGTAGCCCTGTAGCCCTGTATCCCTGTAGCCCTGTATCCCTGCAGCCCTGTATCCCCAGCCTTGTATCCTGTATCCTTAGCCCTGTGCCCTGTATCCTGTAGCCTGATCCCGAAGAGCGACATCAGCTGCACATATCACATTTACATTCTGTTTGAAAGTGATTAAAAGGCTTTAGTCCGCTTTGGGGAGTAATATTTACAAACGGCTTCGAGTGTTACCTCATAGAGTCCTTGACACTGGTGGCTTTATTGCAGCCCTGTGAGGGATATTCACCCTTCCTTCCCAGCTCCCCCCCCACTCCTCAGCCTCCCCCAACCAGCCCTGAAAAAGATATCATTGAGTGTTTACACGTTGGGATCTAGGGACTATTCGACCCCCTCCTCTCTGGTCCTGACCTGTTGCTGTCAGGAATGTGGCATCAATCAACGAGGCACCTGAGGCAGTGTAGAGGCGCGCCAACTCTCGATAGTTTAGGGAATACTAGTGTCGAGCTTGGGTATTGACACAGCTGTGGTAATAGTCTGTTTGTTCTGTTAGAGAGAGAGAGAGAGAGAGAGAGAGAGAGAAATGTTGTTACCGATAAGTTGCGGTGCAGACAGATGAACTCGTCGTGTTTATGTTAGAAGCTAACGTTGCCTTCAACACCCTCCCTCTTGTCGTGAGAGTCACAAATACAAACCTATAAACTTGTGTTAGTAAAGCGGGCGTTAATCTTCACCACCTCTCTAATGAACGATCGGCCAAATCTATAATGGAAGTTCATTTGGTTCCTTGTTGATCATGAGT